CCCCCACGCCCGCCCCTGGCTTATTTTGAAACAAATTTCAGACATCATATAATTTCATCCCAAACGCTTCAGCGAATCCGCAGACAGTCAGGATTTACACACACGCAGGGCGGATTTGTGTGCACCAGGGCTTGAGTGAGGGGGCCGCGCACATCGGCCGAGGCGCCCACTCGCCCTCAGAATCCACCCGCAAGTCGGGCCCAGCCGGCCTCCCGCCCTCCCTTCCCGCGCGCCGGCCCCGCCGTGTGCTCCCAGGGGTGCTTGCCGCTGCATTTGGCCAGTGCTGCTCCTGGGGGCTCCTTGGTGGGCTGCGCGGCTGCCCCAGAACCCCCAGTGGGCCCACCGGCGTGGGAGGCATGTTGGGGCCGTGCCCCCGGCGGGCAGCGCCCCGCCTTTCAGGAGTACGCGGCGGTGGGCTTCTCTCCGGAACGCCCCGCGGGCCCCGGCGAGCCGGCCGCCGCGGCTTCCTCTACGCACCGCTTCCTGCTCGGGATCAGTTTTTCTTCCAGTTTTGTCCTGGTCGCGCACATTCCCTTAAATGCTCTCCGGCCAGGCTTCTCCCGTGGCTCGGGGCGGGAGGACACGGCTGCCGACAGGACACGCCGAGCACGTGGTGTGTTGGTATAAGGTGACCCCTGTGGGCGGGGGTGCCACGCGCAAGCCGCTCTGTCTGGTTTTCAGGGGCCACGACACCCTTCAGAGCCGCCACCGCCCCCCATTCCCACAGACTGGACTCCGCGGCCGGTGGGTCTGACCTCGAGGCCCTCAGGTCCCCGCAGGGGCGCGGTACCGGGCAGCTCGCTTCAGCTCTGAGAGGGTGCGGCAGGCACATGGGAGCTGCCCCTGTGGGTGCAGAGCTCTCAGGGGGCAGGAGCTGGCCTGGGAGGTCCCGGCCTCCCTTGGCGTCCCCCCTCCCTAGCTCGGCTCGCGCAGCCCGTCCTCCGGGGGCGTGACGAGTGATGCTGCCGCGCACGCGGCCGCTGTCTCAGCCAGGCCGGCCCGAGACCCGGCCCTTGGCCACCTGCCTGGGCGGGGGCGCCGGAATGTTCCACAGGCCCCGGGCTGGCAGGTGAAGCCGCAGGGAGTGCAGGAAGACAAGCTGGAGCCTGGGTTCGGGATCACAGGGGGGCCCTTAGAAGACAGAGCATGTTTTTTAAATAATTCACGGCTTAGCAGCAGCGGGGAGCCCTGGGCTGCGAAGCAGACACAAGTCTAAGTCAGCCCGGCCCCTGCACAGCCTACGGTGCCCAGGGTGGGAAGTGAGTCTGTGGGCTCCCTTGGGCGCCTGACTCCGCCGAGGCCTTCCCGGCAGGCAGCCAGCTTGAATTCCTTGGGCCCAGGTGTCCTCAAGGCCGTCTACGGGCAGGACCCAGCACCTCGTTCCGCACTTCAGGGGCTCAGGGGCCCAGGTAGCCGTAAGATGAGTGGCCGTTGGATTTTTTAATTAAGGGATTTAGGGAAAAACTGTCACAGTGAAAGCACCAGGAAAGCCAGACAAGCTGACGTCTTACTATGAAATAAAAAAAACCCCTAAAGAGAAAGCACAGGTGCAGGTGGGGGCATGTTGCGGTGCCCCCTGGTGGCCACGGCCCCAGGCACCCTGGGACGGGTGGGCCCTGCGGCTGGGCAAGGGTGGTGGTCGTGGCAGGGAGCAGGATACTGGTGGTGATGGCCACAGCTTACTGGGCACAGAAGGGACCAGCACGGCAACAAGGGGCACCCCTGCACTGCCAGGGCTCTCGCTTTCTCGTGTGGGTCACCACGTCTGACGCAGGGGTTCTCTGAGCAGGCCCCCTCCCGCCCTGCCCAGGGTTTTCCCGGGAGGCCCTGCTTCCTACCGGGGCAGACCAGGGCAGGACTGTCCCGTCCCATCCCCCCACCCCCCGGTGGCCTGTTCTTCCCGGGCCATCGCGCTCACAGCCTTGGATCTGAACTCGAGATGTGTCCATGGCCAGAGAAGGACCGAGGGCAGCAGGACAGGGTCCAGCCCCGCTCCTCGTCGTGCGATGGCCGTGGCCTCGCCCAGGAGCCCGAGAAACTGGCAGGTCCGGCCCCATGGGCTCCGTCCAGAGAGGAGACCCCGCAGAGCCCCGGTCTACCCTTCCCCGCCAGCTGCCTGCGCGGCCTCAGAGGCGGGCTGGCCGCAGGCGCTCCCTCTGCATGGCAGGGCCAGGGGAGACCGCCAGCCAGGACTGCAGCGCCCCAGCCCCCACCTGGGCCTCACTAGCCACAGGGCCCCCGAGTCACCGGGCCAGGCCACACCAGGAGGGAATGAGCGGGCAGCGCCGTCTACGCCCGGGGGCTCTGTCCCGCCTCTCACTCTCGGCTCCCCCAGTCCTCCTGGGGCGCCCGTGTCCCTCACCTCTGCAGGCTGGGCCCAGGGCCGCCTCGCCCACCCAGCAGCCGGCAGCATCCCACTCACTTGTCACATCAGGCCTCGGGCTGCCGCCGTCCCTGTGGGTGCCCCCCCACCTCCCTCCCCACGCTCCCCTCGCGTGCTGACACCTACTGTAGCGCTGCTGTCCCGGAGTCCATGGGGTGTCCCCCGTGAGGCCCCAGAGGTGGCGTGGGCATCAGCACAGGCCTGGGCACTCTCGGCATGGGGGCAGGGAGGGCGAGGGACCAAGGGCAGATGCGGGGCGGGAGGTGGGAGACCTACGTCCTGTTTGGGACGGACCTGGGGGGGCGCCCCTGCCCACGTGCCTGGGGTGGGCGCGGGATGGAGTCCTGCCTGCCTGCTGCCCCGCACGGTTGCGGCCCCTGCCGGCTTGCTGGTGTCTGGGCCTCACCCCCAGCGGCTTCTTCTTGTGTCCCGCGGGCTCTGGACTGGGGCCAAGTGCGCCGTAGGGGTGCGCCCGATGCCTGGGGTTGGCCTGCCCCTCCCCGTTCTCTGCCCCCTCCCTGCACGTGTCCTCGGTGCCCGCTGCCAGGAGCTGGCACCCCGTGCACGTGTCTCCCCACGGCCCCTCCTGGCTGGCCCCTGCTGGAGCGGCCACCCCTCCCCGCCGTCTGCCTGAGGTTTCGGGGCTCAGGTGATGGTGCTTCCAGGTGCTGTGCCCAGATGGCCGAGGGCTCAGCACCCGTGGCACTGAGTGGGCGCGGTTCCAAGGAGAGTGGTGAGGCCCCAGCCACGCCACGGGGCCACTGTCGCGCTTGCTGGAGCAGAGGCCTGGTGGGTAGGGGTAACACGTGCGCTCAGGGCTCCCCTGCTGTGTTGTCCTACAGCTGATAAGCTGCCAGGGCGCCCGAGGTGAGAAGGGCCACCCCTGTCACCTTGCGGAGGGAGAGGCCATGCCAGGGTGGGGCCAGCCCAGCCGCTGTGGCCTCCAACCCTTGCCTCAAGGGGCCGGAGTTCTCAGCAGCCCCGCCAGCTCTGGCCCCCTGGCGTCTAGTGGTGAGAAGGGCAGCCCCTCGCCGCCTCAAGGGCTGGTCAGGCCGGCGCTGCTCTCAGGGGAGGGGCTCATGCCTCTGTGCGTGCTCCGGTTTGCGGGGGTGGCACTGTGCTGCCCAGAGTGACTGGCCAGCCGGTGCTGGCCCCTGCCCTCCAAGGGCCCAGGGAGGCCACCAAGCCCATCTGAACCCGGTTCCCACAGTACCACTTCCCGGGGCTCTCCCGGCACTAAATAAAACGCTGTCAGGTCTCTGTGCTCAGGGGGCAGGAAACCGCAATGACTTTGCGCTTTGGCCTCTGCATGGAGGCCGCTCCCCACGCGACCCCCGAGGCATGCGCGGCATGGGAGCCCCCTGCGTTCTTCCCGCCCCGCTGCCCAGCCCAGCCCAGGGCCTCCCCGGGGCTTCTGACACGGACGCACTCATCCCGATCCCTGGGCGGCCCCGTCCCGCGGCCTGGCGTGTGGAGCTCCCGCCCCAGAGCCCAGCTCGGAGGCCAGGCCGGCGCCCACGTGGCTCTAGGTCAGAGGGGAATGTCCACTCTGGCTTCCTCCAGGCGTGTCCCCTGGCCCGCGGGGTCCTGTGGAGGAGGGGGCGGGACAGGGCGAGCCCCCAGGGCAGCCCCTCTGCAGGTCTCCCCCTCCTGGAGGCAGAGTCTCGGCTTCAGCGCCCTCTCCTGCCAGGGAGCCGCGTGGCGGTGAGGACGGGTCCTGGCCTAGGTCTGAACACCAGCCCTTGCCGCCTGGCTCCTTGCCAGGCACGATGGTCGTGGCACAGCCGGTCCCCTCTGCCGGCAGACGGTAAGCGCGAGCCTTGGCGCTTTTATGGGGCTCGAGCCGTTAGAAGGCCCTCGAAACCCAAGGGGTGGGAATGTGGAGCCCCTCTGCTGAGACCCCCACGCCTGTACCCCTCCTCCCCCCCCCCCCGGCTCATCGTCAGCTTCCCACAGTGTCAGTGAAAGGAAATCACGTCCCGGACACCAGGGCCCCGGGGGCCGGTTCGGCGGAGCCGTGGGACGCGGGCCTGGCGCCATTCGAACGTGGGCTCGTGGCTCCCCGCTCCGGACCCTCCCCTTGAACCCCGATCTGAGTGCCAGGGTCGCGGGAGCCCGGGTGTCTGGAGGCCCCTGGTGCCCCGCAGTCCCCCGTGTCCTCCGGCTGCTTCCCTAGTTCGTTTCCCACGTGACCCTTAGCTGCCGGCTGCGCCCAGGAGGCGGCGCCCTGCTCCGGGAGGGGCCCTGCTCCGGGAGGGGCACACCGTGGCTTTCTTGCGGGCATTTGGGTGCCGTTGCTTCAGAACGGGTCCTCTGGCCACGCCGCGTGGCTGTCCGCGAGTGTGAGGCTGTCGGCGCTTGCGTGTTAGCGTTGGGTCCTGACAATACCCTCGTCCTTTCACCAGCGGGGTGCGGCCACGGGCTGGGCTGGGGGCCTGGGAGGACCCTGTGCCGTGGCCCTGGCCTACCGAGTGTGTCCGTGTTCACGCACACCCCCCTCCCGTCCGGGAGCCCCACGCTCCTGGGGGTGCTCTCGCGTCCCTCAGCCGGGGTGCGGGCGGCGCGGACGGCTGGGCTCCCTGCAACCCACCCTCAGAGTCTCGCTTGCTCCCACCAGGCCCGGTACAAGCAGAGCCTGGACCCGACAGTGGACGAGGTGAAGAAGCTGTGCACGTCCCTGCGCCGCAATGCCAAGGAGGAGCGGGTGCTGTTCCACTACAATGGCCACGGGGTGCCCCGGCCCACCGTCAACGGCGAGGTCTGGGTCTTCAACAAGGTGGGTCCCGTGGCGCCTGCTGCTCTCGGGCCGAGGCAGCCAGATGAGGGATGGCAGGCAGCGTCTGCGGGGCTCGGGCCTTCTCAGGGACCCAGAGTGACCACCCCCTCCCCGCCCCCGCCCCCTGTGGCACCTGCGCTCTCACCGCCCCCCCCCGGGGATTCTGCTCTACTCTGCGGCCTCGGGACCGTCTGCTTCCGACGTGACCCCGGCAGGATTTCTCAGCCGACAGTCTTCTTTTGAGAACCAGTGATTTTCCTAGAAAATAAAATGACGCAGCATTCCAAGGCGCTCGTGCCCAGCTCGGCCGCCATGGCCTCTCCCGCACCCTTGGGGGGTCCTGGTGCTGCCTCTGCTATGGCTCCTTGAGGCGAAGACAGCGCGGCAAGGGTTGGAGGCCCCTGTGCGCCTTCCTTGCTGTGGGGTGGCGGGTGGGACCCTGGTCCCCAGGAGCCGGGCTGTGTGGCTCTCGGCTCCTGCACGAAGGCCGCGCGGTTTGCAGGCTCAGCCCCACGGGCCTCTGCTGGCTCAGGAACGGCACCTTCCACACCCCTCGGACGCCCCCCTCGCTTCCCTCCCCAGGAGAGCTGGGGCCGCAAGTCCCATGCACGTCACCCCCGGCTTGTGTCGGTGGCTCCCCAGACTGGGGCTGGGGCCGGGGGTGTGGTGGACAGGGCTGCACCCGTCCCTCAGGGCTCGGGGAGACGTCGGAGATCAGGGAGACAAGACGGCGGCACTGGGGACAGGGCGGCGCCAACACCCGCCCACCGACAGCGCGCGGGCAGGGGGAGCGGAGATTTTAGACCCTAAATTGCATGGGAAGTGCCCAAAATGAAATAGAAAATCTGAATTAGCTTCGTATCAAAGAAAATGGGTTTGGAGACGTTTCCCCTCACAAAGACTCAGCGGCGTCAGCCCTGCCGGGCTGGACGCTCCTCATCCACCAGCACCTGCAGCTCCCGAAGCGGCGTCTGCCTTGAGCGGCCTCGGCGCAGCTGCCTCCTGCCTGGGCGGGCGAGCGGCTGTTTTGATGTAAATGCCATGAGCTGCGGGTTCCCGTCACCGGGAGAGCGGGCATGCGCGGCCTCTCGGATGCTCTTGCTGCCAGCGTGGCTCGTCCCCGCATCCCTGTCCCCACGGGCCTGTCGCCCCCGCCCCCAGCTCGTGGGCAGTTGTGGCCGCGAGGGCGTCTCAGCGCCTGGACTGCTGCGTCAGGGCGTCCACGTGGGCCTCGTGTGCTTGCACGTCCGTCAGGGCCTAGAGCTCCGTGCCCGCGGCAGAGCCCACTGGGGTCCCGGCAGTGAGGAGCGGAGGCGTCGGGGAGCCCCGAGGCGTGTGTAAGCGGTGCTTCGCTGCTCTGCTCTCCCGGCTTCTCCCGCTGGCTTTCCTTCCCTTCTCCCTTTGCCTGGTGTGTCGTCGGGGAGGGGCGAGGCTGCGGCCGCGCAGGTGACCTCAGCATTCAGTGAGACCCGCGGTCCCGTGGCTAGGCCTGCCCGCTTTCAGGCCGGGCCAGTGATGCGAGCCGTGAAGACCGCCTGCCCGGGGCCCCTGGCCGGCCTGGAGGACCAGAACAGAGTCCGCTGTGGGATCACAGTGGAAAACCAGGAGCAACTCCAGAAGATGCCTCCGAAACCCAACCCCCCGTCTAAATCACACAGGGGCTGGGCCTCCCTGGTGGCGCAGCGGGTTGAGCGCAGCGCTGTGAAGCTGTCCGCAGTCTGCAGCGCGGGTTTGATTCCCGGCCGGCCAGGGAGATGCGCACATGGCGCGGCAGACCTCTCCTCTCTCGCCTGCTGCTCTCCCGTCTGCCTGTTCTGCTCCCCGCCCTGTCTCTGGTGAATCCTCTCACCATCCCGTGCGTCTGGCCTGTACCCCAGCTCTTGTGTAAAAATAAATGAATCTTTAAAAAACAATCACGTTTAAAAAATTAATAAATAAATCACAGAGGGGCGAAAGAAGCCGTGAGAAGTTCTGAAACATTCTGAATGACATGAAAACGACACAACCTGCACAACCTGCGTGGCATGGGCGGCGGCTCCGAGGGCACTTGGCAGCTTGTCCGGAACCGCGCGCGGGCAGTCGCGCTTCAGGCCTGCACTTGAGAGAGCGGGGAGAGAAGAGCAAATTAAACCCAAAGTCGGCAGAGGAAGAGAATACGAGGCGCTAGAGCAGACGCGGTGACACCAAACATGGGAAGTCAGCAGAGAAACGGCGCTCCTGTGGAGACCCAGGAAGTCCGCGTGCTCCTACTGGGGGCCCAGGGGGAAAGGCAGGGGCCCGAGGGGGGCACTGGCACTCCCAGGGCCGAGGGTGGAGCACGGCTTCCCTCAGGCCCGTGCCAGGAGCCAGCTGCGGGCCTGGGCGTCGGCCGCGCACACCTGCTGTGCCGCCAGCACCACGCGAGTCTACCAAGTAGGAGCAAGAGCTGTGGGGAGGAGACAGCTCTGGCGAGTGAATCAGGACGAGTCAGCGAATGGAGAGTCCACAGGCCTGGGCAGCAAAGCCCGTGTCGCAGGATGCAGCCCAGCCTCGACCCGGCCAGCTGTGTGGACATCGACAAACTGACAGGTTTCGGTGTAAAGGAAGGTGACCCAGAACGGCCCTCGCCATGGTGGAGCAGAGCGGTGCCTGCCGCAGGCCAGTGCCGCCCACGTGAAGGCTAGAACCACGGCATCCGACAGTGGACGACAGAGGACAGACAGACAGAGGGGCATGGGACAGAGCGCCCGAAACAAGCCTGCGAAAGGCTGCCAGCTGACCCTGGATGGAGGGGCCCCGGCCAGCAGGGGAGCGAAGCCAGGACCTCTGAGGTGGTCCCTGTCGTGGAGCCCGTTTCTGGCCGCAGCCCGCCAGCATGTCACAGCCGCAGACAGCACGGCCCCGGGAACACGCCGCCCAGGGTGCCTACTTGCAGGGAGCAGCTGCCGCGCGAGCTCCCGTGAGCCCAGCCCCAGTCCTCAGCCTCCGGGCCGCCCTCACTAGCTGCCCGTGCAGGGGAGAGCTGGCGCCTTCGGGCGGCGGCCACCCGCGCTCCTCCGCCCGGGCCACGGCCGAGAGCTGTGCTTGGGGCAGCTCACGTGCCAGGCCCTGGAGGGAATTCCAAACCCATTGGTATTCAACCAGGCGCCCCGCGGGGAAAGGACTGAGCGCCAGCTGCGCGGACCGGATGCTACTGCCCCATGGCGCGGGGAGAGCCGGGCAGACGTCGGTGCCCGGGACCCTCGGCTCGCCCAGGCCGCCTGGTGACGCGTTGCAGGGAAAGCACAGACACCGCTGGGTGATGACCCCAAGCCCCAGCGACTCCACGGGGAGGCGGCGGCGCCCAGAGGACACCCAGGGGTCTGTCTGCCGCACTTCTGCCCGCAGTGGGTGCCGGCAGTGAGGACACATTTCATTGTAAAATATTTGATGCTGAAAAATAATGAACAAAATCAAAGAGGAACAAACTGGATGGAGAGACAGTCCATATTCGTGGGTAGGAAAACTCAAGAACTCTGAAAGAATCCAAGGAGAAATGTCTCTCGTTTTTTTGCATGATGAAATCTCAGCATCTCACCAAATCTCTGTTGGAACGTTGGTAAATTTGGTTGCACAAAAATGGAAGCTTTTATATCGCATGGAAATCATCGTGAGGTCACGTGAAGGGAGCGCTGGCTTTGCGTGGGGACGCCGTGCTGGCCTCAGTGCACAAGCCGCTGTCTGAAGCCAAGGAAAGCTCCACCAGAGCATCTCAGGAGTGGACAGCACGCAGCAGGGCTTGGAGGTTCAGAAATGGAAATGTCCAGAGCATCCAGAGCACACAGACTGAACTCGCCGTGACAGCTGATGAAGAGGCGGGGGCCCCAATGGAGGCAGGGGCCGCTGCAGCCGCAGCCTGGGGGCCCGGCCTGTGACCTCGTTCAGCACCTAGGAGTCAGTTCCGTCGACAGGTGTAGGATAGCGACAGAGGTGTAGGATAGCGTGTGGCTCAGCACAAAGACCATCAGTGCCAAGCTGTCCCCAAAGCAAAGCTTGGGGAGCAGCCGCCGAGGCCACCGGGGCCTGCTAAGCCGCCTCGAGTCTCGAGCTGGAAGCCGCATGGGGTGAGGCGGTGCCGGCAGCGTGCGCACCCGCAAGTGTGCAGGGGCTGCAGGGCGCTGCCAAGCACGTACCGTGCGCTTAAAACTACACGGCCTTCCAGAAATGCACATGTGAGCACGGCCGTGGAGTGGGGCGCAGAGGCTCCCGCCAGGGAACAGGACAGGACTCTGTTCAGGCCACCCTACCTGTGCTGGAAACCTTAGGGATTTTATAACCAAAATCAGACACCTGGTCTGGCCTGGCAGCTCCGCGCCTTCAGATCTGTGAAGACAAGACGGCGCTCGCCCCCACCCGCGGCTGTGACGGCAGGGCCAGGCCTGCGGTGCAGGGGCCACGGCGAGGGCTGGGGAGGTCACTGACTCGCCCTGGCTTACTAGAAACCCAGGTAGACAAACAAGCGATCTGACAGATAAAACGGATCATAATGAATAAATTATCTAAAACCTACTTTTGTTTCTTTGAAATGAAAACACGGCCTTGAATATATTTTTCTTTTTTAAAAATTTTTTATTTTTAAAGATTTATTTATGCACACAAGAGCTGGGGTGCAGGCCAGAGGTGTGGGAGTGAGAGGACCCAACAGGACAGAACGGGGAACAGAACAGGCAGACTGACTGAAATCCACTGCTGAGGGGAGCAGTGGGGAGACAGGAGAGGTCTGCTGCGCCGTGTGGGTTGCTCCCTGGCCAGCCGGGGGTATCGAACTCGTGCTGCAGAGGCTGCGGACAGCTTCACAGGTTGGGTCTTAACCCCTTGCGCCACCAGGGAGGCCCTGAATATATTTTTCTAAGAGAAAGGAGAGGTGCAGTGATTAGGAATTCTCTGTGCTTGCTGCCTTATTTGGGGGGGCAGGGAGGCAGGAACTGCAGCTTAGTCTGAAAGGCTCTTGGGGGCTGCTGCAGCCCTGGGTGCACGCAGGGGTCTGAATATACTGGCTGTCAAGGCCGGTGCAGCCAAGAGGACTTGGGGTCACGCCGCACCCCCGGCCTCTGCATCTGGACTGCAGGGGGCCTGGAGCCTGGAGCTGCCCTTTGCAGGCCTGCAGGGCCGTAATTCTGCCCCAAAGGAAGCTTGACAGGTCACCCGGGACCTCTGGGAAATGAGATCTCCGCGCTCAAGTTCTAATAAGGGTTCATTCTCAAAGGTCGTTTCCTCCCCGCGGCTCACGGGAGGTGCTTCTGCGCTCCCTCGGGGGCGGGCGGCCAAGGCCAAGCTGGCTCGTTAGACTTGACTGACGCGGACCTGGGGAAACGGCCGCTCCTCAAAGTCGTCTTCTCACCGGGTAGAGTCCCCGTCGGGACACATTCTACCGAGTCCTGAGGCCTTCTTGGTCCTCATGGTGGGGAGGCTGGGTGCCGTCCAGACCAGACCGGTGCCGTGAGGCGGGGTGGGGCAGCAAGTATGGTGGCCCGTGGGGGCCATGGTGCGCCCAAACCCTTCCCGGCAGCAGCGCGTCCCCTGGAAGGCACTGGGCGAAGGTCCCTCCCGTAGAGGCCATGAAGCTGAGCCCAGTTCCGGGCAGGCCCGGCCGCTTCCTTGTCCAGCTCTTGGGCATTGGAGAACCCAGAGGCACTGGCCTCCAGCAGGACTGGGCCTGCCCGGAGGCCTGAGCGCTGCCCATGGCACCGCGTCTCGGGATCCTCCTGGAAAGCAGCATCAGGCATCAGGTTTCGCCTTCACAGGCGAGACTCAGGACAGGTGCGTGGTTGACACCTGGCTTCGGGCACCGGTGCCAACCTGGGCCTGGCGGCCTGGCCCCGCCCCCTCTCTGGACCCACACTGCAGACACGGGCGCTCCCCAGGCCAGTGCTGAGGCCCCTCTTCGCAGCGTGGGGTCCCTGGGTTCAGGAGGCGGCGGGCTGCCTCCGTACCCAGGGAGAAGGGCCTCATGTCCTCATGTCCTCGCCAGAGCCCGCATTTGCTGAGGGCTCTTTGCTTATTCAGATGAGCGTGTGTCACCCCACCGTGATGAAATGTTCCCGACCTGGAACAGATTCTAGTAAGCCCCGGGGCTCCCCCCATCCCTGTGCGGCGTGCGCATTTTGTCCTTTGAAGAGACACGAGTCATTCCTGTCACCAGAGCTCCCAGAGGTCAGCCCGACACCCCCGGCCCTGGCCCCCGACCCCAGGCATTCCCGGCCTCCCGCACCCCCGCCCTCGCCCCGCTGCACTGTTCTCCTGGCACTGCCTGGAGCGCGCGCAGTGGAGGGGCCAGCCCCGGGCCCCCCCGGCCGGCAGTGCCACGCACAGGGTGTGCTTTGCACGCGGCTTTTCCTCCTCTCCCAAACGGCATCATGTGTACGTGGTGCCCAGCCTGCGGGTTACACAGTAGTCGCCTCTGACAGGCCTCGCCACGCTTGCAGGGGTCTCGGGCCTCAGCCTCCGCGGTGCCAGATGCTGCGGCCACCGACTCCCTCATCGTGGGCATTCAGGGCCCCGACAGCTGCGGTGGCCCCTGTGCCCCCGGGCCCGGAGCTCTGCCCACACCCCCCAGGAAGCGGGCGCGCAAGGCGGCTCGAACGTGAGCCCTGCCCTCTCATTGCACCTTTCCTGCAGTGGGCGTGTCTCGAGGGGTCTCCCGCTCACACTCGCGGCCGGGGCAGGGGCAAGGCCTGCACGTCCCGTGCCCTGGGGTCCCAGCGCCGGCCCCAGGAAGGCGCCTCCTCTCGGGAAACAGCCGTGCCCAGCCCTTGGGCTGTCCGCGAGCTGTGGCGTCCCGATGTGCTGAGCTCTCTTCACGCCGTGCCAGAGGGGACAGACCAGGGAGGCCGTGGGGCCCCTGCAGGCTCCAGGCTGTGCACCCCGAGCTGCTGCCGGCCACAGCGTGTCCGCTGCCCCGCCCCGGGAGCACACGGGCGGCCGTCGGGCCTGCTGACGCCGCGCTGTCTTACAGAACTACACGCAGTACATCCCGCTGTCCGTGTACGACCTGCAGACCTGGATGGGCAGTCCGTCCATCTTCGTGTACGACTGCTCCAACGCCGGCCTCATCGTCAAGTCCTTCAAGCAGTTCGCGCTGCAGCGGGAGCAGGAGCTGGAGGTGAGGCTGCGGGTTTGGGCGCGCTCCCCGGGGCAGGGGCAGGGTCAGGGGTTTGGGGGCTGCCAGGGTGAGGGGGGCAGCCAGGCCAGGGGCAGGAGGGAGGGTTGCGGGGTGGGGGGGCTCGTCCTCCAAATGAGCGCCGGCGGCGGCATCAATGGGGCTGCCCGTGCCCCCTCAGCTCCACCGTCTCCCCTGCGTGTCACGAAACAACCCGCTAAGCTGAAGAGGCGGCGTGCGGCCCTGCAGCCCTGGCAGGCGCCGGCCTCCTGGCCCCCAGCCTGCAGCCAGCGTGCTCGATATGGGGTGGCCGTGCGTGCGCCTGGGCCTGCGTGGGGTGTGGCTGGGCCGGCGCAGGCAGCGACTGGGCAGGGGACACGGCCTTGGCCTCCTGGGGCGGGCTGGGCGTCCTGCGTTCCCAGCTCGAGGAGGGCGTTGCCGGACACCCAGCAGGGGGTTGAGCCTCTGCTTGGTAGACGTGGATGCCGCGTCCTCAGGGTTCACGTTCTGTCGTGCTGGTGAGGCCTTCTGCAGCTGCGGTCAGGCGCCGGCCGCCCAGGCTGGCCTTGAGGTGGCTCCAGCTCCTGAGGCGGCGCCATCACCATCATCCCGTTGCCGTCGCCTCTGGAGTGGACAGCAGAGTGGCCGCGCGCCTGGCGTTGCTGGCTGTGGGCCTCTCCTGCGTTCATCCTGGGGGGGCGGAGCCTCGGGGGGCTCGAGAAAACCCACAGCCGGGAGGCCCCCGCCCGCCCCGCGTTGGCCATCGGTAGGCAGGGTGTTTGCGCTCGGAGCACGGCGCCGGGGGGCCCCCATGTTCACGCCCGCGTTTGAGTCAGGGCGGGTGGAAGGACCTGCCCATCGGCCCCGCTGTGGGAAGCCTGTGAGACACAGCCCCCCAGCCCCAGAGAGAGCCCCTGCCCGCTCTCCCCCGGCACACGTGTGGAGACGGGGCGGCCTTGGGGGTCTGCTCGCGGCCCGCCTTCCCCGTGCGCGGCCAAGGGTTAATCAGCCTCGGAAACTGCTCATTTCCCTGAGCGCGAGGAGATTTCTGTGCATCGTTGTTGGGGGAAAATGTTTCATTGCCTGATTCCTCGTGGAGGAAGCAGTGAAGACTCGGCTCTCCGCGAGGCGGAAGAGGGTGATGAAAGTCCTGCCGTGTGTTTTATAATTAGCTCCGACTTTTATCTTCATTTTTTTTTTTTAATTACAGTGTCCTACGTCTGTGTTTTCCCTGAGACTTACTGGTATTGGCTGTTGTGCGTTGGTCTCTTGCATAAACAGCGGAAATTAAAATGATAAAATTGGCTCCTGGCTAATCCCGGGGGACTCGCTGTGCAGCGTTTCCCGCGGACGGCCGCTCCCCCACGTGGCCTCTGAGGGCTAATCTTTTTTTGAAAGCCCCCCCTTCCATGAGCCCAAAACCTTCATGACAGGAATGTGAACGCTTGCGCTGGGAGACAGTGATGTGCGAACAGAAAGAAATTGGCAGCAAACCGGCGTGTACCAGTTTTCAAAAAATAAAGAGAGTCAATAAGTGATTGAGCGAAAAGAAGAAAATGATGCCCTGGGCCGGCGGGCTTCGCGGCAGTGACCGCGGGCGCGGGTCTGAGCCCCGTCCAGAGCGGGCGCCCTGCCAGCCCCGCCGCCCTCCCGCCAGCCCGCGCTGTGCCGGTGGCCCTGCGTTGACGATTAGGGAACCTTCAGATCGCTCCTCTTCTGGTGTTCTTTAAAACAAGATTTTGTTTGTTTGGCTGTTTGCCAGTTTGGTACCTGCAGGGTTTTAAAAATCAGCAAGTAAAAAGGGCTCACCAGCGGGACCATTTGGGGCTGCCTGTGGGCCGTCTGCTCCCCTGCTCTCGTCCACCCCAAACCCAGACCTGCCGGCTGCCTGTCCTCGGACAGAAGAAGGGCGGCGCGGGATTGGACGGGAGGAGACGGTCTGCCGTCCGTGCTGGGGGCCTTCCAGAGGGGCCGGGGTGCCCCTGGCTGCGCTCTGCCCCCACTGCCCCCCATCTGGCTGAGCACCCACGTCCGGACTCGTCTGCTCTGGAAGCGTTGCGATCTGCGGTAATGGCCTCGTGCTTTGGTCGCTGCTTCCGCCAGTGATCAATATCTTTGGGTCTTCGGGCTCTTAGCTTCCTTCGATTTGCCTTTGCCTCTCAACCTTCCCAACTTCTGTCCTCTGCGCTTTGGCTTCCAAGAACACCGTCTATTCCCCAGGCGCCCTGGGGGCCCGTGTTGGGGGCTGGGGTTCCTAAAAAATGTTTTCTGCTTCTCTGACTATGACCAGGCAAACGTCGTTCATCCAGAGGCTAAACGGGTGTCGTGGTTCAGCCATTTGTCGGCCGGGCCTTGTGGCTTTACCTTTCCTGGAGATCCCCTCTTCTTCCTTGAGCTCCAGCTTTACATGTCCTCGGTCCCCACATTTGCAGGGGGCTCAGGACCCGGAACACGTCCTTGTCCTCGGGGCCTCTTCTCCCCGTCCCGTCGTTCTGCGGCATCCTGGGTGTCGCTGTCTTCCAGATGCCGCGTTTCCTCTCTTGATTCTCCCCTTTGTTCCGCTAGAGCACGTCCTCAAGCAGCACCCTCGAGGGGGGGGTCTGGGATTCGTCCTTCTCAGACCTTGAATGTTTCCATCCGGACTCTTGTCCCTGTGAGGAACGGAAAAGCTCACTGTAGCTTTTCACAAGCAGCAGCTTGCTGTGTCCACTGCAGTCCCTGAGGCTCATGCCTTACTCACTCGGTGGTGCCGTCAGGACCACCTGGCTTTGACTCATCCCTCGGCATCCTGAGCCGGCGTCACGCTCTTGGTTACAACATTCCTGCCATGGCTCCAGGTGTTTCATCAGCCTTTGAGGCAGGAAGAGCTGGGAGGGGCAGTGCTGCCCACTTGTCTACCTTCCTAGGACAGGGGTGCAGACTTCCTTGACCTCTCACGCCAGCCGGGTCGCACGCCACCCCGCCTGTGCGCCAGACGCTCATTCTCTCAGAAGCTGCTGGCGTTGGGGTCGTCGGGCGCCTTCACGAAGGGCAGGCGCATCCTGCAGAGCATTCGGGCTTGTGTGAGGCCCCTCGGGCCAGCGGGAGGGGCTGGTGCTGGCTGGGCGTGGGGGGTCTGCGAGCTGGACGTCACAGCTGGCCCTGGCGGCCCCGCGGGTCTTGTCGCTGCCGCCTGTCCGGGGTGTGCGTGTGAGTCCGTGGGCGTCCCCTGTGCACGCGCCCTCGTGGGGCACTGGCGTCCGCGGGACCCGCAGCTGCTCGCTGGTCGCCGCCCTGGCGTGGCGAGTCCTCCCTGCCTCCCACCCTTTCTCCCGCCCCTTCTCAGGAAACACTCGTAGGCAGGAAGGGAATGAGCAGGCGTCTGTCATGGGATAACGTTATTCACTTTCCCCCTTAATTTTTAAATATCAATTTGTGGGTTTTTTCAACGAGTTCCCCCTTTTCCTAAGTTACCTCCGTTTCTTCCACAGTGACTTTCCTCGTAGACCCCCCCCCCAGCCTCACCCGCGCGGTCACCGCAGGCCCTGGGCAGATGTGGGGGCAGGGGCCCTGATTTCCCTCTCCGGCCTGGTGCTGCCCCGGCCTCCAGCTCCGCGCTGAGTTAGAGGGCGGGCTGCCTTGCTCCAGATCTTGGGGCGACCCATCTGAGGATGGCTCACGCTCACACTGGTGCTCTCCCCATGGGGTGAACCCGGCCCACGAGAACTCTCTGGCTTGCCCTGGCCATTGGGGTCACTCCGCGGGGGCTCTTCCCGACGCGGGCATCTGCCAGCCCCCTCTTCCTTTCTTGTTGATTGGGGGAGGGATTGGCTGGACTTCCTAGTCAAGCATTTTTCCTACACTACAGAAGGTTCCAGAACATGGTAGAAGCAGTATGAGCAGCTACACTTTAACACCGCCTGCCCATCTGGGTAAACGTGCAGTGGAAGGTGGGCAGAGGGTTTCTCGCTGCCACTGCCAGCCCTCGGCCCACCCAGGGGCCCTTGGCTCTCCGGGCGCAGGCTTGGGCCCCACTGTAATGTCGGGCACGCGGCTTCCACCCACCATTCTCGGGGGCCCACCAGGTGCAGCTCCCAGCACCCTCGCCCCTTTGCCACCTCAGTCTCCCTGAACTTGGCGTGGGTGTCACTGGAAGTCAGCGTTGTTGCATCGAAAACAAAAGCTACCTTCGGCCGGAGCAGGAGTTGCTGCGAGTGGGTGCTGTTTTAGTCTTGCTGGAGTCTCCCCCGGAGCGCCCGCGCCTCCTCTCTGCGCCTGCGCGGGGAGGGAACAGTCAGGGCCTGTTCGGGAACAGGAGGCGCAGTGCCCAGCCCAGCACGTGCCAGAACAGATGTCTCCTTGGCCCAGGTTGCTGTTTATCGTGTACTCTGGACCCTTCCCAAATTCTCCAGAAGGCTCGAGTGAGCTTTTGGAGATGACAATCTTCCTGGTGTCTGCATCTCAAGAAACCCTTCGGGAGCAAGTGCCTCTGGGCTGCCTGGGGGGCCGGCTAGGGGCTCCCGGAGGGCCCCCTTCTCTGCCTGCTCCTCCCAGGCCCCTTGTGCACGCTGCTCACCCCCTGTAGGCTGTTTCCAGAGCACACTTTTAACTGAAGATCAGTATTTTAGACACACACAAACTGACAACAGCGCCTGGGAACTAGCTCGGCCATTAAGATAGTGGGTTCTATGCCCCCGGGTTTGCAGGCCGGAGAGCGCTGGCTCCTGCGTGGAACGCTTTCCTCGCACGTCACCATCATCGGTTCCGACCGTCCTCCCTTGGCTCGCCGAGCCCGTGTGCCCTCTGCGTGGCGGGGCAGCTCCCTTCAACCCCCGCCTGCCTCCTGCCCCCGCGGGGCCAGGTACCCGGCCCGGCCCGCGCCCCTCTCCCGGCACGAGCCCGAGCCTCAGCGCGCGGTCAGTGCCTCCCGCGTCAGATTTCACCGCGCAGACGCCGGAGCCCCATGTTCCCCGCCGTTTCCAAAAAGGCAGCAGAACCCGCGGGGGTCTTGTCACACGCAGGAGACCCGTGGGGCGGCCGTAGGAGCACATGGACCGCGGCGCCTCAGGGTCTCCCGAGCTCAGGGCGGCTGCGGGGACGGCGGGCTGCGAGCCTGCCCTCGAACCCCTCGCCGCCCTGCTTTCCAGAACGATTTACGGTTTAATCCGTCTTCATGCGGGTGGGAACGGGGCCCTGTGCGCACCCTGCGGACGATCAGACAATCAGCTGGGGTTGCCCCAGGCTGCAGTGCGCCCGCTTCCAGGTCTCTGGAGGAAGCATCGGCGAGAGCCGCTCTCCCGCCTGCTGGACAGAGAAATTGGATTTTGGCTCAAGACAAAAAAATTGTTTCTCCCTGATTCCAGCAAAGGGAGGCGCTCTGCCGGGGGTGAGCCCACTGTTGGACAGGCCTGGGGCGCACCCTCGGAGCTGGCCCCTGCTTTCGGCGGGGGCACTTTCTGAGCCCCAAGTCGCATCCCTGTCATGTGGTGGATGAAAGGCTGAGCCCAGATGCCGGGGAAGACCTGGAGGGAAGAGCCCGGGCAGGACAGCTGTGGGCACCGTGGACGTGCCGGACCAATGGCTGGGTGCTGGCCGCCACCCCGTCAGGGGCCCTTGGGGCCCACGCGCCACACCAGGTTCTGTCTTCCCTTTGCGTGCCGTTTCCTCCCTTCACGTTCCTCACCAGTGCTGTGTCCCCGCAGGTGGCTGCCATCAACCCCAACCACCCGCTCGCGCAGATGCCGCTGCCGCCGTCCATGAAGAACTGCATCCAGCTGGCGGCCTGCGAGGCCAGCGAGCTCCTGCCCATGATCCCCGACCTCCCAGCCGACCTGTTCACCTCGTGCCTCACCACCCCCATCAAGATCGCCCTGCGCTGGTAAGTGTGCCCACCCGCCCCGTGACACCCGGGCCTTGGGGCCCCGGTGCCAGCGGGGCCAGCTGGCGGTGGCCAGGCTGCCACTGGCGTTCCCAGCTATACCCTGGCTGAGCTGGGAGGGCCGGTCACGCCCAGAGCGGCCCTGGGGGAGGTAGGCTCGTGATGAGGGCCCCGTGCCTGCACGGCCGCGGCGCTCCCGTGCTCAGCAGCCAGGGAGGACCGGCTCTTGCCTCAGACACGCCGCCCTTCCCCCCCAAGTCCAGTGCCCTCTGAGCTGGCTGAAGAGAGCCTGGTGCCAGGCGGTGGCAGCTGCGCTGGGCCGTGTGCAGAGAGCACCCTGGGGTGGACCCCTCCTCAGGGTCAGGACTCATGCGAGGCCGAGTGCACGGCCGGCCCTGGCCCCCTGCCCCCCTGGCTCCCGCTTCCCCATCTCACGTTCTGCTGGAGCTGTGGCTGCTGCCAGCCCCGAGGCTGCTCTGCAGTGAGGCGGGTGCCTGAGAGCCCAGACTTAGCCTCGGTGCCTCCCCCCACCCCTCTGGACACAGCAAGACCAGTGTGGACCCGGGCAGCCCCGCAGCTGTCTGCCCTGCGGCCCAGAGGACGGCTGCGGCAGGGTGCCCAAGGCCCTCTGAGGTTCTGGCTGGTCAGAGTGCGACGGGTGCTCAGGCTCCGTGTAGCTGGCCCAGACCCGGTTCCCCAGTTTCCTTGCAGACCCCTCGGCATGGGGTGGGTATGTCCACCTCAGACCCTCCGACTCGCTTAGCGAGCATCACTGGGAATGATGGCCTCCCTCACGGCACCCGTGTCCACATTTCACATGGACCGTTCCTGACTTCGGATACAGGTATTTCAAGGTAGAAAAGCTCCGAGTCGCTCCAAATAGGAGGACATGAGCTTGTTATGTAACAGGCCAGATGGTAAATGGCTTGGGCTGTGGGCCAGAGGTCCCGCCAGAAGTGGTGAGCCAATGCATGCGGCAGTGTTCCAATAAAACTTTATTTACAAAAAAGCAGGCTTGGGGCCAGACTTGGCCTGTAGACTAGCTTGCCAACCCCTGCTTTAAAACTGAACCAGGGTTTTAACTGCGAACATGATGGCTGTTCTTTTCTGATGCTCAGTAAATAACCTAAAAATGTTTTTTACCCAGTAAGTTTTCCTCCCTTCCTCTCTTACCCCCCAACCCCCTCACTCCCTCGGTCACTAAGAGGACAGCTTTTAACTGCACTTGTTACATAGGCACAGCAGCTTATGCCTTAGCTTGCTCGTAGACAGCCCTGCGTGCAGGTTCTTGCGTGTGTGACGGTACAGTGTGTGTGTGAGATGCGGTGGTGTGTGTCTGTACAGTGTGTGACGGTACAGTGTGTGTGTGTGTCACGGTACAGTGTGTCTTGTTAAAGAGCCGAGGGAAGCGCCTGCTGTGTTCCAGCCCAGAGGTCCTCCGAGTGAGGCTGTCTGGACACGGCTGATGGAGTGGTCTCATGTGCGTGTGCTGCCGCCGCGGCTCTAGCCACAGTGGCCAGTGGGTGTATTTGGGATCAGTTGAGAGGGTTTTCTCCCCGGGAGGCCCCACGACGTGGCCTTGGCCTCAGCTGGCCCTCCTACCCGCCCCAGCCGCGCCGTGCTCGCTCGCTGTCCCGGTCCCTGGCGTCCACACGGGAAGGGGATGCCCCGGTGTGGTGATGACTCCTGTAGGCAGACCGGCCTGCAGGCGGCCCAACCCTTGCTGCCAGGCTCAGGGCACAGCGGCCACCACCCTTGGACGCCACCAGGGTCATAAGCTCGAGGGTCCAGCAGGGAGACCCTGCAGCACAGCCCCGTGGTGCAGGGCCCGGGGAATGCCGAGAGCACTGGGCGGGGAGAAGAGGCAGGCGCAGGGAGGATGGCTGCGGGCGACCGGGTAGGGGTGCCCCGGGCTCTTTGCCCACTGCCCTGCCGGGCACAGCTTGCTTTGCTGTGTCTGGGGCTGAGAAGGAAGGGGGCAGGGAGGCGGGAAGGCAAGAAGGAAGCGCTGCTTTCCCTCGCAGACTGGCCGGCACCTGGGAGGCCAGCGAGGGGAGCCCACACGCTCCGCAGGCACAGGAGTATGTGGGCTGGGGACAGAAGCCGCCCTCAGGAGGAGAGGACCCCTGCAGGTCTGGCGAGGGCCCCGCCTGCCCCCAGCGCCTCTGCGCAGTTTCTCCAGGACTCTCCCCACCAGGAGGAGACACCCCGGGACCTGCACACTCCTTTCTGACGGCGCCCACACGCGACCCTCCCCAGGGTTCCTCCAGGAGCTGCTGCTCCCCCTCCAGCTCCTCCCACCAGGGTGGGGGCCAGTCCCCTGGCGGCCACTGCCGGTCCCTGCAGCGCCCATGTTCGCTTGAACTTTCCACATTTCGGGAGTGAGAGCGGTGGACATTTCCTGTGTCCTTGGTGCCCTGGCACAGACTGCCCCCGCCCCTCCCACAAGTCAGGAGGTGGCAGGACGGTGCCCGGGAGAGCAGCTGGGCCCCAGCCCGCCCACACCCACAGGCCGTCCAGTCCCCGTCGCACTTCGCGGAGCCTGAGGGCCGGAGAGCCCCGGCACGTTTGGCCAGGCCGCGGGGACCCTCGGGCCCTCGGTAAAGGGGACACCAAGCTCTGTGCAGACACCACCCCGGGGGCCCACGGGGCCAGGGCCTGCGGCGGGGGGGGGCCGCTCGCAGCCTGCTCCTGGGTGTCTCCGGCGGGCCCCCAGCTCCCGCGCAGGCCAGCAGGGGCAGCTGCTGGACGGGCTCCCGCTCGCCGACAGTGACTCACGTCGTGACTGTGGCGGCGTTTATGGATTTTAATTAGGAAAGTCTGAGACCTGTGGCCGAGCTTTCCCCGAAGACAGAGTGAGCAGCACATGGAACGGGGAAGAGCGGACACGGAGAACGCCGAGGCCCTCGAAGACCGTGAGCTCGGCGGGCAGCAGCGCGGTGTGAGCTCTGGCTAGCGAGGGCCAGAAGGCAGAAGACCCAGATCACCTGGACCAAAAGTGGGTGGGCTACCGCAGACCCCACGGCCCTGAGGGCCTCAGGCGCCTCCACACCCGAAGCACCAGGGCCAGTGAGCGCCGCGCTCCAGGACGGCCGAGGAATCCGCAGGAGACGCGAGCCGCCGAAGCTGACCCCGGAGGAAAATGGAGTCTGGGCGGTTGAAGCAAGTGTAGAAACAGAGCTCCCTCGAGAGAGAAGGCCAGGCGCCGTGCGCTTGCCCCAGCTCTGCCGACACTCACCAGCAGCGCCCCAGCCCTCGCACAAGCTCGTTCAGAAATGGGGTTCAGGCGGCGCCTCGCTGCTGCCCAGCTCACGGAGGCGACACTCGTCACCAGCCCAGGAGACCCCATCAGGACCCAGGTGTGGCTCCCTCGGGCCACAAAGTGCTGGCGCCGCCGTCCTGGGGGCCACCCGTGTGGCGCGTCACCGCCTACCAACGCTCGGGGCGTCTGGGAACAGTGGGTCACGCGGAGGTGGACACGGGCCCCCAGCCAGGACGGCCGGGCTGCGATGGGCTATGGCCCTCCCGGAGCCAGACAGAGGGCTGGGTGGCCAGGAAGGAGACAGGCAGCGGTTGGGGTGACGGGAGAGCCAACGGCGACTCAGGTGCTCCAACTGGAGTCTCAGACCTGCCTTTCCTTGTGTGCCAACCGCAGCCCATTCACGGTGATTGAAGCGGCTTTAAGTCTTGAGCGGGAGGACGGGTTTGGCTGCACGTGTACGTGAAAGCATCGAAGGGCTCAGCTCAGAAGGTGTGGGAGCCGGGGTGTCAATGGGGCCTGGGGCACAGGAGAGAGGCTCACGGGACGGAGGGGCAGGCCCGGTCCTGCGGCCCTGGGGTGGCGGGCGGCTTCCTCGCCACCGCAACCTCTGGTTGTGCTGTGGGACGCTGACTAGACAGCCCTGGGGGGTGCCCGTGGGTCAGCCGAGGCACACCGATGCAGGACCAGTGGTGGTGACGCCAAGGAATGACGCTTGTGAGTTATTGCACGAATACTGACTAACTTGGCCAAACTTGAGGCTCCTGTGGCCTCTTGGAAATCAGCTGTCCCGAAGGAAGGGTATCGCGGTGAATCCTTCCGCACGCTTCCGCACGCTGGCTGCCTCCTCGGTTGGCCTTGTCTGTACCTGGCGGCCGGCCCCGCCTCTCCCCTCCAGTGCCGTCCCGCCAGGAAGCGCGGCCTGGCTGGCTGTCCAGGCCTCAAGTGTCCAGGCCTCTTGTTTTCTCCCTCGCGTCCCACAGACCTCGAGTGACGGGGCCGGGCCAGACTCAGGGTGGCCAGCGAGGGGAGATTCGCCACCCCCTGCTCGCCAGGGCCCCGGGGCAATGGCTGCAGCCCCCATGTGCCCGAGGCCCTCCCCGCAGCCGTGTCAGACAGACCCGGAGGTGCAGCCATGGCCAGGGTGGGACCCGCTCAGCTCTCCGTGTCTCGTACCTCGCTGCCCTTCATCATGGGCCAGCCCTCGCCCACGCGAACTCCAAAGCGCGCCCCAAAATCGGGGGTGCAGGGCTCGGAAGCCAGAGCTGTTGTGGTCTGTGTGGTATGTGGGGGCGCTGGCTCGGCAAGCCTGTGGGGGAGCAGCTCTACCTCCTCCTTTGGTCCCCACGCCTGGCATCACCAGAGGAGGCAGTTCTGGCTTCCAAGGCGGGTGGGGCTCGGCTCCTCCCTGGTGGGCCTCGCCGACTCCTGGCACCCGTGCAGGTGTGGAGGCCTCGGCGGCCAACCCTGGGCCCTGGCCTCTGCCGACATGGGCAGCAGCCAGGAGCCTGGCAGGAGAATGCGCCTCCTGGCGGTGCCCCAGCTCCGGTGTAGCCTGGGCATCCGGGACACGTCACGGCACGTTCACGTGGTGACGGCCATGGGAGACCCATGGGGCTCACATGTTGGCGTCCAGCCCATCCCCGGGGCTCATCCATAGCCCCTTGGCTCGAGCTGGTGGCTCTGACAATGCTGAGGGGCCTCGGCCCCTCGCCCAGCAGCGTCACGGCCCTGCCGCCTTCGCCACCTCGCGCCAAGCGGGCAGCCGGTGCCCGATTTGTCAGGGGCTCCTGAGGACGCGCCATCACGTTGGTGTCTTACTGCTCGGACACGGCCGGGCGGTTTCTGCGCCGTGCACTCCTCGGGTGTGGGTGGAGAAAGGCGCTGAGGGGAGGGCGCTGGCGGGGGCAGGGGAGCATGCGGGCTGCTCGGGCTCGACTTTCAAAACTAGGCGTGAAGACAGCTGTCCCCCACGGGCCTCCCCTCCCGCCCACTCTGACCAGCAGTGGCCCAGCCCTCCCTTCCTTGCAGCCTTCACTCCCTGGGTTTAAGACCCAGCCCTGCAGCGCCTCAGCCTGCTCCCCTGTGGGCACTGGGGACTCCCACCTCGGCTGGGCTGTCGGGGTCGGTGCCATCTCTGAAAGCTCAGTGCCCTGGCAGCCTGGCTCCCCGGGCAGGCGCCTCCTCTGGCCTGCCCTTGCCCACCCTGTGAACTGTGGGGCGCAGAGGGAAGTGGGGGGCCAGGGGCGTGGGTTTACAGTACAGAAAGAGCAGCTCAGAAGCAGGAGAGAACCGGCATTAAGAAGGAAGGAGGTGGCAGGGCTTCGGGGCTTGTGTTTAAAACATCGCTTGTTCTTCATGTAAGTTGAGCAGATGGGCCTGTGGCTGAGGACAGCGGAGGCCTCGGCGCCCTGGGGCCTGGCTTTAAAAAGCGCCCCTGGCGGCCCTCAGCTCTCTCCCCTCACGCCACAGCCCTGTTCCCAGTGGCCGGCCCCCAGCCATTCTCCGCCCGAGTTTCTGGGCTGTGAAGACGCAGCTGGTCATCAGGCCGCCCACTGTGGGCTGTGACCCGGCGGGCAGCCTGGGCGTCCCGCGAACCAGCACGCTGGACTGCAGGTGGCACCCCTGCGGAGAGCAGGCTGCAGACAGAGGTAAAGCCGTCGCCTCAGAGCTGACTATCCCCAGAAGTCCAGCGCCGTTAACAGCGTCGATGGCTTCAGAGCTGGCCAGCTATCGTGCTGAAGTCATGGGCCAGAAAGGCCACCAATGCCCTCGGTACTCAGGTGTGTGCTGAAAGCGACACCACCCCAGAGGCCGAAGCCAGGGGTGCCCGCCCAGGTGCCCTGTCACCAGGTCCTCATGGCACCGGGGCTGCCCCCGCGCGCTCGCAGACAGGGCCGGCCTGGGGTAGTGTTCACGTACACGGTAGGGGGCCAGGCGGTACGGACGGCCTAGTCGGAGGACCTGTGGCGCGGCCTCGTGTGCCGGGCTGGCCGGCGGGAGCACAGAAGCCAGAGCCGCCGTGTGGGTGTGGCCTGCGAGCCTCCCTCCCAGCACCTGGGACAGATGCGCTCCAGCCAACTGCTGGCGAAGTGGGAAACCACAGCAATAAATCTTGTGTAATTTAGAAAAATAATCTTTCTCCTTTCGGAAAAAAAGAAGAGAAGATCCTTGCGTGAGGGTTCTTAGCCGCGACCCCAGAAGCGTAATCACAGAAGGAAAAGATAATGAGCTGTGCTTTATCATAATTAGAGGCCTTTGCTTTGCAAAAACACTGTAGAGAATGAAAAATTAGCCAGATTGGGAGAAAATATTTGCAAATCACAAGATAAAGGACAAGTACCCAGAATTCACAGAGAACTCTCAAAACTCAACAATAAAAAATAACCCATTTGAAAACTGGGCAAAAGATTTGAACAGATAGTCTGCCAGGCGGGGAGCTGAGCTGCAGAGGCCGGCGGGCGGGCGGGTGGGCGCTCGCCGGGATGCACCTGGAAAGCCACGGCCAGGAGCCCACAGCTCTTCCCGGAGACCTGCTGTGGTGCGCCCACCCCCAGTGTGCCGCAGTGTGCCCGCGCCCGCTCGCAGTGTGCCGCAGGGACTGAGGAGGAAGCGGCGTGGCCGGCGGGCGCTGCGGGGTGTGCTCTGCCCCCGCAGCCCTGTGCTCCAGCAGCCGCCGTGCGTCTCACCAGGGAAACACGGGTCACGGGCGCATGGAACCCAAGTGCACTGTCCGCAGCGCGTTGCTCACGGCCCCAAGCAGGAAACCGCCCTGAGGCCTGTGGCATGGGGAGGGAGGAGCGGGGGGGGGGGGTGCTTCCACAGATGGGGACCCCCGAGCAAGTGAGGCAGCCAGCGGGGCTCTGAAGCTCCGGGGCGCGGCCAGCGGAGAGCACTGTGCCGTCCCAGCCGCCCGGGCTGCCCGGAAGCTCCCTGGGTCATGCGGGCACCCAGCGGACTGGGACTGAGGCACAGGCTGCAGCCTCCAGAGATGGGCGGGCACGGGGTGGCGGGGGTGGGGGGTGGTAGCCCAGAGCCTCAGGCGGCCAGACTCAGCAGCTCTGTGGGGGCTCTGGGATGATGGGATAACACACCCGGTGGGAAGAGAACCAGCGGGAGGAAGAAAGCTTTAAGAGGTCGTATTTAGTCAGAAATCACACGCGAGTTTAAAATCAGCCAGAAGGGGAGCAGGCACCGTGAGGACAAGGCAGCGGGGGCCAGGGGGCACTGCAGGGCCAGGCCGCAGGGCGCAGAGGCCAGTACAGGATGTGCGGGGCACTCACGCGGGGACACACTCACCGTGACACAGACAGACACAGCCACTGGAGGTGAGGGCTCAGCACGCCCGGCTGGCGAGCCCCTTCTGGCCGTGCCGGCCTGTGTCCGGGCTGCCTGTTCGCGGGGTCTGTTCTCCTGGTCGGCAAACGGAAAGGGTTGTTTGGTAAAATTAAAAATGAATTTGAATGAGAACCCTAACAGTGCAAACAGAGGGAGGCGCCTGGCCCGGCAGCCGCCCTTGGGCGCCCATGCCCATGAGGACAGGGAGGCCGTGTCCGGCTTTAATTCATTCATCAAACTGGTCTAGAAATTCTGGGCAGTGTGATAACTACCCGAAATGAAAGACATCCATATTCTAAAGCAAATTTGAATTATGTATAATCTGATTTCCTCTTTGCCCAAAGAATTCCAATAAAATCCATTAAGAAAAGACCAGCGATGACGGCGCGTTCAGCCGAGGCAGTCACAGCTCCGTGAGGGTGGACGTGCAGGTCCACACCTGGGGTCGGGGCCGCCCGTAGGGTTGTCCCCCCCTGCATCCCCCCGAGTGGTGGTTCTGTCCACTTCGGGGCGGTGCTTGTGTCCACTTTCTTATTCCCTCTTGTCTTACCTGCGCTTCTGCGCGGAGGGCTCCGAGTAGCTCATACTTCCCTGCGTCCAGGACACCCAGCCAGGAGATGCCGGGGAGGGGTCGGCTGCTGGAGCCACGCGGGGGCCGTCCGCGGGAGAGGCGGGCCTGTGTTCCGCGGCGGCCGTAACTTCTCCCTAACTGCAAATACTGCGCAGTATTGACAAAGTGATTTTAAAGGTCACCAGGGAGACTAGATGCTTGAGCATCACCAAACGTTTATTAAAAAAAGATGGATTTATGAAAGACTCGTCCTGCCAGCTCCAAAGTGCATTTCGAAGGTGCGGTTGGAATGAGAATAGCCTCGAGAGCCCACGGAGCAGGACGGAGAGTTCCAGAAACAGCATCTGTGCAGAGAAGGAGCTTTTCTTCTGGGAAAAGAACGAATATTGTTCCCTCTAGTATTGGGGGCACATGGATGACTTCAAAAATGTTAAATTCCTACCTCTTGCCTTAAAATAAACGCGCAATGTACTGAAGATTTAAATGCAAAAAGAGCCTGCAAGCATCCGCCCAGATTATCGGCGGTGGACTCAGAATACCATGAACGCGGCGACTGGGCTTTTTATTTTCTGTCGGGTTCAGCTTAGTTGAAGGAACGGCGCCGACGAGGCACTGGAGTGGATGTTTCGCACAGCAGGCAGGAGGCGAGGCCTCCCCCATGTGCATGCCCTGCCTTGGGGCCCAGACGCGCCCAGGACGGAGGGAGCCTTGTCGGCTGGCACCGCCACACTGGACTTGGCCCCACCTCGGAACGCGTCTACCCGACCACCCGCTGCTTCGGTGAGGTGGCCTGCCCGTCCAGGGCCCGCCTCCGGAAGCCACGGTGGGCGCCCCAGTCGGGCGAGTGCCCGGGCCCTGCGCTCAACCCAGTCCTCACACCAGCCCCTGGGCTCGGCACATCTGCGCCTCCCCGGTTTCCCAGCGTGCTCCCTTCCTCGGGAGACAGGTGAGGGAAATGCTTGACAAGGTTCTTCCAAGCCACATCCTCAGTCAAAGCAGTAAGACTTGGGTGAGAGTGAGACCCGGGCGGCAGGCGGAGCGCCGCTCGCTGGCCCTGAGTCGGCTCGGCCCGGGTGGCTCCCGCGTCCGCCCGGGGACTGGTCTGCAGGGCAGGGGCGGCGGCCCCAGGCTGGCTTTGAGCAGCCGGCCAGGCAGGGTCGAGCGGGGTCCTCCAGCCTGGGGCAGGACCAGCATCCCCTGCCGCCTGTCCGGGCCCTGCCTCCGTCCTCCACCCGCGCCGCGTCTGCCCCGAGCTCGGCCCGGCTCACGTGTCCTGGCCCGGCTCCCCCGTTCCCCCCGAGCCGCACGCCTGATGCGTCGGTGAGTGTGAGCACTCGCCGGTGCCCCTGTTCTTAGAAGGGTTATTTGCTCTTAATTTTCTGGGCGAACTCAACATCCCCTTGTGCCCGTGAAAACAGGAAGCAGCTTTCCCTCTCTCCCTGCGCCGCCTGCGAGCGGAGGTCGGCGGCCACACTCCCGCGCTCGGCACCTGCGCGGATGCTCGGCCGCACGCCGGCTGGCGTGACGTCACGATAATTAAAATGACACGATCGAGCACGCGCCTCTTCGCCTTCTCCCGCATCTTTCCTCTGTGCGCCCGGCGGCAGCTCCCCCGGCACCTTCCGAACAGGGAGGACAGCCAGGCCGGCGTCCAGCGAAGCTTCCTTCCCGGGCCCTGCTGCGTGGGCGCCTCCACCCTGAGCCCAGGCCGCGGAGGGGGAGGGGCGGGCGGCGGGGCGGGCTCCCTCTGCGCCCACCCACCCTGACCGCGACCCCGTGGCAAGCGCCCGATGCCCTCGGTGTGACCCGCTCTCTCTCCTCCTCTGCAGGTTTTGCATGCAGAAGTGCGTGAGCCTGGTGCCCGGCGTCACCCTGGACCTGATAGAGAAGTGAGTACCCGCCGGTGCCCCCCAGGAAGTGTGGGCCCATGCAGGCCGTGCTAAAGACAGCCAGAGAGCTGAGTGCTCTGATCGGTGAAGGCCCCACACGGAGCCGGGCGGGGCCGGCGCTGAGGGGTCTCTAGACAGCGTGTCACCGCGACCTGAGTGCCCATGAAGGGGTCTGGGTGACGCCCCGGGGAGGGGCCATGGGGTGCGGAGCCTGAGATCGCGTCCACCTTTTAAAGAAGCTTTTGCAAGGCCGTGGACTATCAGGTGCACGTATGGACACGTTTAAGGGGAGTCCGCCTGCCGCGCAGGCCGGGAGCACGACTGCCCGGGGCTGGGTGCTGGGGGAGCCGGTCGCGTGACCACCACTGCCCCAACTGCCTGTGACGCGGGGTCGCTCCCAGATCCAGCTCGCCCCAGCACCCTCTGTTCTGTCGGGACCGGCCCACGCCGCCCGGAGCCGTGGGCCGGCGCGTGTGGGAGGCGCGTGGGCCGCGGGCCGCAGTCACAGGCTGTGCGGGCTCAGGTTCAGGGCCGGAGCCGCCGCGGGGCAGGCACAGGCCTGCTGGGTGTGGCCTCAAGCGCAGGACACCGGGCTGGGCAGTGTGGGCCGAGATGCTCCACGAGAGGCTGGGGGGCACGTCAGCCGCGGCATGTGTGGGTGTCTGCTCTCGGGGGGTGCAGCCCAGAGGGGGCGTCTGTGAACATGTGGGGGCGAGGGATCGTACCCAGAGTGTGGTTTAAAAACAGACAAGAGGCAAGAGACGCCTTCCCTGTGGGGCTCAGGGCGGTCCTTTACCCCGGGAGACGCTCAGGCTGACAGCGTGAGGGCGCCCCTGCCGTGCCCTGCCGGGCCCCCCACACTGGCGACCTCTCGGGAGGGCGCCCTGGGAGACGCACCCGCCCCACTCTCACGGCTCCTGACTCCACCAACCCCTCCCGGCAGCACAGGAAGTCCGTGGGGGGACGCCCCCAAGAAGGAACTAGCAGGGGTCCTTGGGGTTCTGCTCCCCAGAAGGGAGGCCTTGCCTTACCCCACACGGTCCTGAGGCACCGCGGGGTCTGCTCTTGCCATTCCAGGGCAGACAGGCCGGGCAGAGCACTGAGGGGCTGGCAGGAGCCAGGAGCTGCGAGAGGGGCTTGGGCCCGCACCTGCGGGCTCTGGGCCGGGCCAGAGCCGGTGGCCACATGGCAGCTGGGAAGGCGGTGGGGCTGTGGGGGGCTGTGCAGCGTAGGGGAGAAGCGCTGAGGCCAGGCGGGGGCATGAGGCCGGGGTGGAGACGGCCCCATCCTCCTTGGAGTCTGCGGCTCCCTCCCCAGCGGGAGAGGGCGATGCTAAGTCTCCCTCTGGGAGACTCCAGGCACCCACTCCCACCGTCCTGCCTGCTCTCATCTGGGGGGGGGGGAGTGGGAGGGGAGTGGGGGGCTGTGCTTTCTCCATTTCAAAGGCACCCAGCACTGTTGTGGGGCAGGGGTGGAGTCTGAACTCTGGGGCGGGGCGGGGCGGGTCCTGCCCCTCCTGAGCGGGGGCACCACAGGGTCTGCCTGGCAGTGATGGCCCCAGCAGCAGGGCCCCCTGCCCACGTGGGGCTGCATGTCTGTCTGGTGTCTGGGGCTGCATGTCTGTCGGGCCCAGCTGTGCCTCCCGAGAGGGGAGCTGGGCTTCTGAGGCAGCTGCAGAGCTTGCCGCAGGGATGGCTGGGCTGCGAGTGTGGGGGAGGGAGCTTTGTGGCGCTCCAGGTGGGGTGACAAAGAGGGAGTAAGAGCCAGTCACCGGAGGAGCCACAAGTCCTTGCTGTGACTCACTTCCTGAGCCTGTGGACGAGGCCCTGAGTCACCGCTCTGCACGCAGCTCGGCAGAGGCCCCGCTGCGGGACTCAGCCCCCCAGCCCGAGGGCCCCGAGACTCGCGTGCCCCTCCTTCCCCAGAGAGCCCTGCTGAAGCCTGGCTGGGCAGAGGTGGGGAGCCTTGGGGCGAGTCCAGGATTCCACCCCCTGGCGCCCTCGGGTGGGAGCCTCGGCCCCCCGGAGGAAGCACCCGCTCCAGTCCTCTGACTCTCGGGCCCCAGCTGCCCCGCGGGCTCTGCGGAGGAGAGCACTGGCGCTCAGCCTGGCCGGGCTGGCCCGGGACGGCTTGTGGAGCCGCACCTCAGCCCCAGAGCCCCAGGAAAGTGGCTGGTGCCTCCACCCGGCTCAGTACCGCTCTCCCCCTACCGAAGCTCTCTGCCCTGAGGCCGGGCCGGCCCTCCCCTTCCGCGGCACCCCCTCAGCAAGGGTGGGCCTCCGCCAGGCTCCTGCTCTGCCTGCCCGGACACTGCTCTGGCCACCTCACCTCCCAGCCACAGGGCAGCGCGGCCTTTGGGAGGCCACAGGCCTTTGCCCATGGCCATGTCGCTGAGCTGGGCTCCACGCCCCACCCAGGCTGGTGCTGCCCTTTAACTCAAAACACGAGTGGGACTGCTGGGCGCTCCCTCACCGGCCATGGCCGTGTCCAGGCTGCCCCTCCGTGGGCGCCACTCTGCGTGGGCCCAGTAGGGCCAGCTCCCGGGATCGCGGTGCGGCTTTGGGTGCCCACATTTGCCGCCCGCCTGCTGTGACCACGTCCCGGGAGCCCCGCAGCCCAGGACCCCAGGAGGACGAATTCTGTCACGGCCGTGAGATTGGTCACCCCTGGAGCCGTCATCTGTATTGAGAAAGGAGAGGCGCTGGCCGGGGAGGCCAGGGTGGCGCAGGGCAACCGCCTCCCTGCTGCCCCGCCCATCGGTGTCACGGCCCTCTCAGTCGCTGCGAAAACGGGCTGACCAGCGCGCGGCGATCCTGCACACGCATGGCGTGCTCTGAGCGGCTGCCCCGGACCTGGACCCGTGCCCCTCCGCCCTGCCCCTCCGGGGTGGCGGCTCTGGAGAGCGGCCGCGGGTGTCATGATTATTCACCACGCTTTAAAGCCCGGGCAGGAGTTTGTTTTCTAATTAAGCTGCTGTGTCTGGAAGTAAATCACAGAGCGCCTCCGCAGCCCGGCCCCGGTCACTGCACCGCGGCCGCCTGGCCCTGCGCGTCATGCCGGGTCCTCGGGGTGGGCGGCGGGAGATCCGTGCTTGGAAATGAGAGGCTCTTTTTCAGCCCTGAAACACAGTAATGAAAGGCTTAAACAGTGCGGGGACCAGGGCGTCGGGAGCCTCTGGGAATCGGGAGGCTCACACCGGCCGCCAGGCCAGCGGGGAGCTCCCCATTCCTCAGCTGAGCATCTGGGTGTAAACAGCGTATTTGAAAGCTGAGACCTGCACCTTGAACAGGATGAGCCCCACACCCCGCCCTCGAGCCCGCCCCGCGGCGGCCAGCGGACGCGTGCCCCTGACCCCGGCGTTCTGCGACCTCCCTTCCGTCTCCCTCATGGGAGTCCTGGTCGGTGCCTCCTGGAGCCGCGGCGAGGCCTTTCGGGGCGTGAGGCTAAGGCTCGCAGTTTCTGGTCGAGAATTAGGGAGCATTTGCTGAGCCCCGTTCTGCGCCAGGACCATGCCCAGGCGTTTTCCATGTGAACCCTCCACCTCCAATCTCAGCTGCAGCCCTAAGGGGTGCAGCTGCCGTGACCCGCCTCTTAAAGATGGGGAACCCGAGCACCCAGATGCCAAGTAGGGTCAAGGAGTGTGCTTCCCCTTGCTGTCGCACTGCGCCTGGTGCCAAGCCCCGCCTGGAGGGGGAGCAGGAGGGGACCAGGGCCTGGTGGGGGTGGGGCCGGTGGGGGCTGCAGGGGCGGGGAGCTGCGCCTTGGGGGCCATCTGCGGCCGTGGGGGCTGCCCACACCGGCTAGCACAGGCTCGGCAGCTGTGATTATAATTTGCTCCACTGTCAAGGCGGAATTGTACACATGTATTATGTTTGAAGAAAAACCATCAAAAGATACCAGTCTCGGTTCACAAAGTACCTTTCTTCCCAACATAAATATGCTATATCGGCTGGTTGAAGGTGAAAAATCAGTAATTCATTAACGCCTGCCAGTCACTGATAGGATGAGTGATGACTCACTGGCGCTAATTCAGAAGTGGGGCCGCTGCCAGGCACCACGCACGGCCCTCCTGCCTGAGCGCCCGCGGGGTGGCCGGGCGGGCCTTCCGCAAGGTCCGGAGGTGGCATCAGGCCGTGTCTGGACTCGCCCTCAGCCAGTCAGCCTGCGCCCTGCGCCCAGGCCCAGGGAACGCTGCTGAGGCTCACAGTGCTGCCCCCCGCAGGGAGGCCGTGCCAGGCTCCTCCTGCTCCCCCGTTTTGTCGCCTTGCACTGAGAGCTCGAGGTTCCAGCTCCAGAACAGGCCGGCAAGAGCAGGGGCACCCTGCTGGACCCCTCGGGGGGGGGGGGGGCTCATAGGGCTGTCCCGCCCCCCGTGGAGAGGAAGGAAAAGGAGGCCCCACAGGGGCCTCCACACAGAGCCCAGGAGCGCCCGAGCCTGCCCTCCTCCCGCCGCGCGCTGCCGTGACAGAAACGGAACTGGGGACGTGACCACTGCAGCGGCCTTTCCAGCGCCGTTCGTGGGTCCAGCCGAGGCATTTTGGGTGGTCTCACTGTATTTTTCTATTAGGATCTAATTTCCACGCTCCCCTCGAGCGCGCGATCGGCGCCGCCCAGCGGTCTCCTACGCGAGCCGCCAGCAGCGACCACTCTCGCACACGCCACCCCTCTGACGCCCCGGCCAGGAGAGCAGCCCCTCCCCACCCGCTCCCGGCAGCCTCAGCCCTGTGGACGGTCCTGGGTAAGGGAGCCAGAGGGCGGCCGTCTGGCCGCTCGGTGGGGCATGGGCGTCTGGCTTCCTTTCGCTGCTGAGTGCTGTCCCTTGAGCCTGCCTGTGGCCGTCACCCAGCGTTGTCACCAGCTGTTCGGGGCCTGACGCTGCGAGTCTCCATGCCAGCTTCTGTGTGGACGTGTATTTTCATTTGTCTCAGGCAGACACGTAGGAGCAGAATTGCTGGGTCCGAAAGTAAAGTCAGACGTGATGTCTCAGTGACTGCCATGCT